AGCTTAAAGAAATTAAGAAACTTGGCAGACTCTCTCAGTTAGCCAGTCGTAGAACAGAGATTCAAATCCAACAATGCCCAACATCAGAAACCCAACTTTAAATCACCTAGGAAAATGCTAGGAGCCCTGACAGCTAAGTGGTTAAGAGTCCGGCTGCTAACCAAAAGGTCAGCAGTTCAAATCCACCAACCACTCCTTGCAAACCCTATGGGGCAGTTCTACTCTGCCCTATAGGGTCACTTATGAGTTGGAATTGACTCAATGGCAACAAGTCGGAATATGCTAGTGGGAGCTGGGATTCCTGGCTGAAGTCTGAGGTTAGGGGAGTCATACAGGGATTCAATGAAGACATCTGTATGGAGGCAGATTTAGCACAAGGAGCCCTGGTGGCACAGTGGTTAAGTGCTTGGCTGCCAACTGAAAGGTTGGCGGTTCAAACCCACCAGTCGCCTCACAGAAGAAAGACATGGCAGTCCATTTCTATAAAGATTACAGCCTTGGAAACTCTATGGGGCAGTTCTACTACAGAATATCTATGAAAACAATTTAACAAAATAACTGACTCAAACAAAAAAAAAACTCTTCCCAGATGTTAGAGGATGGAAACCTAAGACATTAGGAGGAAGGGTAGCACTTTTAGGATTTGTCCCACTTGGCCAGACAAGAGTTTGCAAAACTGAATGTTTACCAGGGTGATACAGGTAGTCTACAGGTTTCTTCTGACAAAGACACACTTGGATAGTAAACATACAAACTATCCTCACACACAAAAAAAGTATGTTCTCTCCTGCTTATCTTAAAAAGTGTCACCCTCTCAGGCTTTCATTTTCTAATTTTTGTGAATGTTTTGATAAATGAATATAAAAAATATTTCACATTTCTTTTCATTTTTAAAACGGTGAAATATTTTAAATATATAAACATACAAAAGTACACAATGAACATCCATGTACTCACCACCCAGTTTTATCAATTATTCATCTTTTACCATATTTACCACAAATCTTTCCCTCCTCCCAAGTAATAAAACATTAGGGATAGAGCTGAAGTCTCCTCCCTCCCTCTCTCCCCAGCAATACAAGCAGAATTTGGTGTTTAATCATTCCCAAGCATGTTTTTATACTACTGTTATATACAAATATAAATATTAACACTATCATTACATCCATTATATATTTCTCATACCTCTTTTGTTCGATTTATTTCTAGATATCCTACAGCTTTTGTCAATATTGTGAATGAAATCACTTTCCTCAAGTATTTTTCTAATTGATTAAATACGAGAATGCAACTGATTTTAGTGTTTTTCTTCTTTCTAGCAACCTTGCTAAATTATCTTATTTTTAATGATTGATATAAAGATTGAATATTTTTATGCAGATAGTTATAGCATATGGAAATAAAGAGACAGCTTTTTTGCTTCCTTTTCACCTCTTATATATCAAAAGTTTTCCTTGACTTATTGTATTGATTAGGACCTATACTACAGCTGAACAAAAAAGAAGGTAATCTTACTTTGTTCTTGACTTTCAACAGACATGTTTTTAAAATTTTACAAGTAGTCATTATGTCTGACATAGCTTAAGGAAGGGTTTTCGCTTATCATTTTTAAGTCATAAATGAGTACAGAGTTTTATCAAATGCTTTTTGTGAGTCTACTGAAATGACTGTCTGTCCTTTTAGAGTACTTAAACTGTGAGTTGGGACCCATTTGATTATAAAACGAAGTTAATCTAATGTGCTGGCAGACCAGAACTTTTTTTGAAAGAGACAGAATATAACAGAAAGCAGCCAACTATATCCCTCAATGTAAGAGTTTAGTAAAACTTTTGTTTCAGCTGCCAGCACAAACACATTACATGCGCTCTGAGTTGCTAGGTAAAATGTATTTCTGAGTTTTATACAAAAAAGTTTGAAAGCCACTGATCTATACTATTTCTAAATTATAAAAAACTACTGTAAAGGCCAAACATTTTGCTGTAAGGTTTTTCTTAAATATAAATAACACAATGCTTGGTTTTTGTTCATTTAAAAATATCCAGGTTTTTCCTGATATTGTTATTTTAAATCACAATCCCATAGTGAACAAAATGGCCCACATTTACAGACACAGCTGAGGCCAATCAAAAATAACAGAATTAACTATGAATTTCTGACAAGCATTGTTCTTCAAGGATCACTGTGGCAAAAGTTTATATGTTTGCAATTTCTGGGGCAAGAGTATACAGCTTTCATCATATTTTCAAAGGAATCTGTGACCTTAAAAATGGACAGAACCTCTACTCCAGAAACTTCAATACTAGTTTACATTTCTAAAACTGGAGGATGTCTTAGTCATCTAGCACTGCTTTAACAGAAATACCACAAGTGGATGGCTTTAAAAAACAAATTTATTTTCTCAGTCTATCCATTGCCATCAAGTCAATTCCAACTCATAGTGACTCTACAGGACAGAGCAGAACTGCCCCATAGGGTTTCCAAGGAGTGGCTGGTGGATTTGAACTGCTGGCCTTTTGGTTAGCAGCTGAGGTAACCACCAGGGTTCCTCTCACAGTCTAGGAGGCTAGAAATCCAAATTCAGGGTGCCAGCTCCCAGGGAAGGCTTTCTCTCTGTCAGCTCTGAGGGCAGGTCCTTGTCATCAACCTTCCCCTGGTCTACAAGCTTCTCAGCACAGGGATCCCGGGCCCAAAGGATGTGCTCCGCTCCCTACGCTTCTTTCTTGGTGGCATAAGGTCCCTTCTCCTCTCTGGTAGCTTCTCTCTTTTATATTTCAAAAGAGATTAACTCAAGATACAACCTAATCCTGTAGCTTGAGTCCTGCCTCATTAACATAAATGCCTCTAATCCTGCCTCTTTAACATCATAGCAGTTAGGATTTACAACACATAGGATAATCACATCAGATCACAAAATGCTGGACAATCATACAATACTGGGAATCATGGCCTAGCCAAGATGACACACATTTTGGGGAGACACAATTCAATCCACAACAGAGGGTAACTTGGCATTTTGCATTACCTACATTGCATCTGCTGTACTTTTGTATTGAGTCTGGCCCACTCATCTCTTAGCTATTTATATTACCTCATCCTTTGCTGACTAACTGCCAAGCCTTGTCAGCGGTTATAAAAACAAATATGCCCTCCAATTCCACCCAAACAAATACGGCCATTCAATGTTCCTCTCTGTCCATCACCCCTGAAATCTTCCTCTGACACTTTAAGACTGTTCCTTGCTTGTGACTAGAGTAATATTTATTCATCATACTCATTAAATTTATTTTGAAAGATTTGTGGCTGCTTGCTAATTGTGCTGATTATGATTTGTCACCAGTGAGGCTATTTAAAAGAAGGCAACTCCCAAAGAGGAGCTCTAACATGTTCTGCACAATAGCAGTATTGTTAGTATAAGTATCCAACCTACTAAAAGGACAAGAATCATTTGGATGTGATGATTTTGAAACATTTTTTTAAAACTCACATTCCCTTCTTGACACATCATGTATGCTGATGTTCTCCACGAAAACCACTTTTCAAACAATTCAGCAATGTCTAGATATTTTAAGGACCATAGTATTCATCTTAGAAATGATGCTGATATTGAGCGCCAAGTACTATAAGTCTAAAGAATACAATATCACTGCTTCTAATTACAATTTTTAAAAACTCCTAATTCTGTAAAGCTATATTAATTGCCCCGGCTGCTGCTGGATATAACAGAATGGTTTCCAAAACTTAAACTTGTCTTTATAGCCTTAAAAAAAAGTACCCAAAATCAACTTATATAATAAACATAAATTTACAAGTGCACTAAACAATCCATTATTATTATTTTCATGCAACTGTATAATCCCCAAAGCAGTATTTTAAAATCACAGCAACCTTTTAACAAAGATTATCTCTGGTGAGTGAAACTGACAGGAATAGAAGAGGAAAATGGAGACATTTTGGGTTTGCTTTTTTTTTTTACTTTAAATACTTCTGTACTGTTTAAATGTTTAAATTAAACATGTACTTTTTAATGAAAAACTGAATAAAGAAAAAGAGTACAATTATAAAATCAAGAATGTCCACATTTATTTTATTCTACTCCCTGTCATCCCACCTTAACTGCCCTTTTGAGAACAGGGACCATGTGTGTCTTGTATAATGTTTATCTCCCACAGCCTTTCCCATAGAAATGGTATGTATCTGATGAGCAGAGGTGGAAGTGATGTGGCAGCAGAGGGATCCAACAAGACTCGAGGTAAGCATTAAATGAAACACTTCCATTTGGAAGGTAGGCTTCAGAATAAAGGGATCTATTATCTTCTCCCTCTGAAATGCTAATTAATGTCTATTCACCACTCTGCTCTGCTCCTTAAACATTTAGACCCCTATTTGAATGGAATGACCAAAGTCATCCCCTCTGTAGGGGGCTAAGTAATTGTTTAGGTCATTGTCACTACAATTTTGAGAATACCATCCCAAGGATTATGTATCAAATCTAGAGCCAGCGGCCCTACTCCTATCTGACATACTTCTTTTTGAGCAACTAGCCAAAATGCTAGTCATCTACTAAAAGGTTTATAACCTCTACCTTCTTATTGTTCTTAAACTCTGAATTCAATTCTGTACTTTGCTACCCAACAAACTTAATTCATGTCTGGTGACCCCTCTTCTCAATAACCTATCACTTTCTCCATGAGGCTCACACACTTAACCTTGAGCTTCATCTTAGGTAAGGAGTTCCAAATGTAAGTACCTACACAGGGACCAGGCAGATAACACATAAGTATAGGGGTATGGTTTTAGAAATAATGGGGTAAAAGTGGTGTAACAACCACTTTTCAGCTCCAGAGTAGGAGTTAAAAAAGAATGGGGTAGATATGAATGAGGAGTTGTGAAATCTTTTATCCTTAACTGTAAGGATAAGGATACTGCAGTACCGTGCAAAGATGCCATGGGTTCCAATGAAGGCAAGAAGAACTAATGCATGAAAGCTGCTGTTGACAAACCTGTCCCAAATTTGCTGAAGGGGTGTTTGGGATTCCCTGTAGCTTTTTCCAACTGAAAGAGTCTCCAGGCATCGTTCATCACATTCTTCTCGTGTTCTGAATCAACTGCATTCACCTCTCTGTCTTTGCAACTCGCATCAAACAACGGGCACAGGAAAAACTGTGCAAACCTAAGGGTGTGAAACATAATTAACAACGCGAAAGCTGTTATTTTAAAAGAGTGCCCTTTTTAAATAATATTTTGAAACTTAGATAGGAAACATGAATTCTACAATGTCAGAAAAAAAACACTGCTACTAAGAAAAAAAGAACATAAAATAAATTCTAAGCAACAGAAGTAAAATAATATTGGACATACATAAACTCAGAGAAGTCATCTACTCTGGAGATGCTAAATAATTAGTGAAAATATAAAAAGACTAACACCAAAAAAGTCAAGGCAGACTTGTGGAAATAGCAGCAAGCTATTTAAGATTTCAATTTGGCAAGGCTATGAAAAACTTTGTCATGTGGGGCTAATTCTCAAAAAAGGAAAAGGCAGGTGAGAGTCCTTAGGCAAATAAATTTTAAGTTTACAGCTTCAAGTGCATTTCACTAGGACTCAGGCACCTTAGGATGAGGTAAGTGACCTACTTTTAAAAGACTCTATTGGAATTTTTTTTTTCCTCTTATGGAGGAAAACAAACAAACTCAGTAGAAAAAAAAAATAATGGAGTAAAAAATCTGAAGGATTTCATAGTAGCTTAAGGCATGATTATGGTCTTTCATGAAATAGTAAGAGAAACAGTCTATAAATTTTTTAACAAGCAATGATTCAAAAAATACAATAATAGTATGTGACTCTAACTTAAGTAACCAATATGCTTTTCTTGAGGATACTCTTTAATAGTAGTACCAAAGTTTAACTAAGATACAGTTATACCTTTAATTAATAAAGTAACTCTCCTATGTCGGCTTGCAATTTAAGTCACGATTCATGTTGTATATCTAAACTTTAGATTCCATCTTGCAAAAACAGGACCCAGATTTCAGATAAAGAGCAGAGGCTCTGAATGAGACTACTATTCAGTTGGCCTAAGAGACTCTTGGGTCTATAAACATCTCAGCTACTACCTCACAGGCCAGCTGTCAAGAAGGCCATTATCATTACCTGATATTAGTTTTAAGCTCATAAATGAATTGATACTGTTCTAAGTACTTTACACATACCAATTCAAAGGGAAACTCCATCTATCTGGAGTTCTGAATCAAACATGTATGAAAACAGAGATTTTTCTGGACATGTAACCCGTTTTACCTACTTCAATACATTCAGGCTGGGAAAGGTGCCTAGCAGCTATATATCATAGCTGGATAGGCCCAGAAAAAAAGTCACGTTTACGACACAGTAAAATCAGTTTTTTAAAGGCTGCTTTTACACAAGTAGTTTTTTGACTCTGAGCTAAGTAACAGATATCCTCCATCATACAGAGATCTTTTATACGAACATCTGCTGTAGCATTTGTAAAGCAGGAAATTAAATTCACTGTTATGATCCCAAGGAACTCATTAATGGAAGTCTTCTGGGAATACATACAAAAGATGATTACACCTCAAAGCTGCTGCCTTAAAATTGAAACATATGATAGAATAAGTAAGAAACAGACTACTGTGACCCAGTCATGTATCCTGAACCCTGTTGATGGTCTTTGTTCTAAAGAATAAATGCAACTTATTAGGTTTTTTAAAACATAATTACTATTATTAATATAAATAAGCAAATAGAGCTGGAAATGACTAAGGCTGCCAAGTCAAATTTCAATATGGATATATCAAAAAGCTGCAGAATTACACTTTTTTTGTAACATAGAAAACTATAAAAATTCAGAAAGGAAAAATGACACTTTGAATAATGAATCATACCACAATTTAAAAAAATTAGAAATGGTTAGCTGTATAAAAAATTAACCAAGATATTAAATTGGCTTAATGGAGCTTGCTCCAGAAAATACTTTCAAAATGTCCCCAGGGTCAAAACAGCAGGTCAAAACATTCTGTATCCACTAAGTACCCTTGAGAAGCAAGGAAGTACAGAAGAGAATATTTAAGGTCTAACATTCAGGAACAGGAAATATATTTGAAAAGAGATCCATGGCACTATCACAGTATATTCTTAGGTTACTGATGCTTTTGTTCAACACGCATTTCATATTAACACCAGATAGAATGGCAGGGCTGAGGAGAATTTTATAAGTCAATAAAATATTTTGTAGACCTGAAGGCTGTTTTAAAATCATGTCATTATTTTTCCTCTACCACAAAGTAAATATATGACATCACTTTTTTTAGAAAACACAGGAAAAAAAAAAACTAGTTAAAATATCTTTTGTCACTATAAAACTCTAAAGATATCCTAGTAAAAATAATTATGATGATGATGATGATCAATGGGATAAGTGCACAAAGTTGGATAATTCATGGGATATTCAACATTACCTGTCCAGGGCACCTTCTAGGTGTTCATGGGAAACATCAAAATAGTAATTGGTATGTTCTCCACTAGTAAAAGCATTTGAACTTCCTGCATGCTCACTGAGAAACTGGCTGTATTCATTTTCTTTAGGGTATTTCTTTGTTCCCAGAAATAGCATATGTTCACAAAAATGACTTAAGCCAGCAATATTTGGAGGGTCTGACAATGAACCTGAAAGAGAAAACATATATGTAAATAAATCATTTTGCTATGCAAAAAAGCTACTAAGTATATATGAATTACAGATAATTTGGAACTCCTATTAGCATGCCAGCTCCAACCAATCACAGATAATTAAGCATAGGCAGCTCTAAAATGGTATTATGTACAAGGTAAACTAGGAGTCATAAGACCCAGATTCTAGCCCCAGCTCTTGACATTTAATCACTTGGTGATCTTACACAAATTACTTAACATTTCCAGACACTAGTCTCCTCATACATTACACTAAAGGGAAAAAAGAGTTGAATTCAATGTTGCACAGAGATAAAACTTTCTAGCTCTTAAACATTTTATTGCAGAAGAAATAACAGCATAGTGCTAAGAGCATGTGTTTAGGGTTTAGCAGCTCTACTAAGCTGTGAAACTTTGAACACATTACTTTACCCATTTCGCCTCAATCACTTCTTCTATGTGTTGCAGATAATACCTATCTTAGAGAGTGTGTGAGTACTAAATTAGATGATATTTGCAAAGCACTCTGCATTTTACTTGGCAAGTTATATATTCAGCATATCATGGTTATTACCTTATCTCCTCAATTCTAAAATACCAATCCTAAAATAAAATAAGGGAGTGCCTGGGTAGCGCAAACGGTTAAGTGCTTTACTACTAGCAGAAAGGTTGGCAGTCTGAACCCACCCAGAGGCACCTTGGAAGACAGGCCTGACAATCTGCTTCCAAAAGGTCACAGCCTTGGAAACTCTATGAAGCAGTACTACTCTGCACACACACGGCTGCCATGAGTCAGAATTGTCTTGATGGCAACCAACACCACCACAAAATAAAATTGTAAAATAAAAATAAAAATTTTTCAGAGAGGAAAAAAACAACACTGACTCACTAAATGTATATATACATAAGAAGCAAGCTGATTAAAGCAACATTGACTGTGGAAGAAATGTGCACATAAGAATCTAAGAAATACAGTATTATTACATCTACAAAAGTGAAAACATTCGCATTGTTACTATAAAGGATAGGAGTGAATTTCCTTGCTGCTTGGTCCCTCCAGGTGGGAACATAACAAGATGCCTCTGGTAAATTCATGATTACTTGACTTAGACAACTGTAGTTTACCAAGAGCTGTACAGGACTACCATACAAAGTAAGGTACGTCAGCATGAACCGGTAACTACCACATCTTTATTTGAACAGATATAGAGTTCTAACAAAGGTCAACGAAACTGAACAAAGCTTAATTCATAAACTGTACCTATGTGTACATCAAGTGCTGCTGATGACTTATCCGTGGTGGGATCGCTGATGAGAAGTACTTTGATGCCATTAGCCAGCTCTACCCCACGGTATTCCCGCTTGTCTTCAGGAGATTTGGTAATGTGATTTCCTATTCTCTTGATAGCTGGATTATTCATTTTGCTGTAAGTCTTTTTTTGGAAACTAAAAAAAAAAAGGTTATTTTTTTCCTTTTTTAATTTTTTTTTATTGTAGTTTAGATGAAGGTTTACAAAACAAATAGTTTCTCATTAAACAGTCAGTACACATATTGTTTTATGACATTGGTTAACAACCCCACAACATGTCAACACTCTCCCTTCTCAACCTTCTTATTTTTTTTTTTTGGTGAAAATATACATAGCCAAAGATACACCATTTCAAAAATTTCTACATGTACAATTCAGTGACATTGATTACATTCTTCCAGTGGTGCTGCTATTCTCACTATCCTAAAAAAAAAAAGGTTAAGTGTTGGATTGTGACTTTTTTTTTTAAAGGACAAAGAATAACATCAAGCAAACCCATATACTACATCATCAGACAAACGGCATGGAGGAAACTTTTTATAGCTGATCTACAAGGTGTAAATTACTCTTCCCCTCTCTCTTACTCCTCATTCTTTCAGAGAAATGATAACAATATTGTTTTTGTGGAGCCATATTTTTATTTAGGAGAGCAGATGGATAGGGATGTGAAATAGGGAGGGTTGGGACCATGGGATGGTCAGTCAGTGTGCTGGTCTAGAATAGAGTTTTCAATTATCAATAACTGTTTTCACATGGATTTCGGAGACAAGCAGCTGAGCCTGCTATTATTAGCAGGGCAAAACACCAATCAGGTAAACCAAAAGACATATCTAAAACTGTAGAGGAAAAATGACCCTGTGCTGGCACATTTGCTTCTCATCTGGCAGACAAAAACATTATCTGACTGCTCCTCAAAGAGTGACAGATCCAAATTTAAAGGTAAATTAAACCGGCTACCATAGAGTTGATTCTGACTCATAGCAACCCTATAGGACAGAGTAGAACTGCCCCACAGGGTTTCCAAGAAGCGGCTGGTAAATTCCAATTACTGACCTTTTGGTTAACAGCCAAGCTCTTAACCACTGCGCCACCACGGCTCCAAAGGTAAATTAGAGGGGACACAAATGGGCATACAATTATTCTGGATAAAATCTTTATTTTGAGTGTTAAAAAAAAATGTGTAGCGATTAAGGGAGAGTAAAGTCCAGTTTGCTTTTACTAGGATACCTTCATCTTTGGAATTATCTAATAGCTATGGAGTCCCTGGATGGTAAAATGGTTAAGCGCTCAACTACTAGCTGAAAGGTTGGAAGTTCAAACCCAACCAGAGGTGCCTAGGAGGACATTTGCTAGAATAAGTGAGGTAAGAGGTTGTGTGAAGATTAATATTGGCGCCAGCCAAAACACTGCTCAAATTGATGATATTCAAAGATAAGGCAGATCTGGAACTCATGATCTGATATGCACATGCTGGGAACACAGCAACCCGCCCAAAGAGGAACAATCCTGTGAAGTCCTAATACAAAATAAGGCACTTGGGCTGTCCTATACAGGCAGCAGAAGCAAGGACATAAAACAAACAAAAAGTTGGAAGTATCCCAAGTAATTTTTGTAATGCAGTGAAGAGCTGAATGACAGAACAGGAACAGTACGGTGATCGTAACGGAGATGACAGACAGGTTCTCCTATGAAGGCCCCCTCTGGCTTCCTCTGATAGTCCTCTCTTTTCGTCTCTAGAATGCCTAGAATTAGTGATGGGAAAGGACTTCTACCAAACAGAATCCTGTAGGGGTGTTTGGTTGAAGGGATTTTCCAGAGTCTGGGGTATGTTTTTGAGAGTAGGGTAGACTTGACCTTTGTCTGTGTTGGTCTATCCAAGCCTCCAAAAAGGGGCACAAGGAAACTCAGGTAAGAGTCCTTATAGGAACCAAAGATCTCACTTTTTACAAACAGGCTTTCACATTTGTTAAGGTATTTTCGAAAGGACTGTTTATACTGCAACAAATGCCTTCAGTACATAGTTGGTTTCAAAAACCTTAATTTAGGTTCAATATAAATTGCTATTTTAAAAAATGAGTTCCAACCTAGCAGCAACATTAAGATTAAAACACGAGGCAGCCTCCATTAAAAGCCCCCAAGGCATGAAGAGCAGCATGAAAAGGCAGCAGTAAGAAAGCTCAGTGTGCACAAGACAGCAAATGCCTAAGCTTCCCAAGGGGCTGAGGTTCTAGCGATGGATCCTACTAGCTAGGAGCTAAAGTCAAAGGCTATTTTGGTTCCATTGCCATAGTTTACACCCAACTCCCTCTACTGTATTGCCCTGAGCTAGTCTGAATTAGGGGAATCCAGGGTTATAAATTATTAAAATGTACTAATAATAATGGAGCTTTAAATCATCTGTCCAATCCACAGCTCTAGTGGGGGGATGAAACACAGCTTGCTTTGGTAGGAGAAATTCTGTCTTACTCTGTGGGAAGTAAAAAATTCTGTATCTAAAGATAACCACCCTCAACTGTAGGCTACATTCTAAACTTTTTTTCAGTGTCTAACTTTCCTTGTCCTGATTTTAATTTTCTTGACAAAAAAAATTTGAATTTTAAAAATGGAGGGTAGGACGCAGGTAGACAGAACAGTAGGAGATGAAGAGTTCCCAGCCTGGTAAGACCCATTCATAAATTATCAGAGTCCATCACAGGCATGGATATAATTCATCTGCACACTGAAGCTGTGCCTAATTAATATCCCTAGTCTTGTTGACAGTAAAGATATAATTTTAATCTACAAGCCAAACAAAAATTAGTCCAACTACTTTTAGACATTTGTATACAGGATCAAGGGCAGCTATAAATTTCCAAGCTGCCAATACTCCCAAATCAAATGTCATTACTTCTTGAGGAAGTAAAAACCGAAAGAAACAGTAACAAAAATTTCAAACTAGACCATTCCCAGTCATCCATATCCAACAGGCACAGTCTGGCTTTACCTAAACAGCATATTTATCAACACTTCCTACAATGAATTGATTCTCACCTTCTGGAGAACTGAAGGAAATGATCAGGAACTCTTCCTCTGATGATGAATTCATCAACAGCTTGCTTGTCTCTGTATTTATACTCATGAGATCACGTCTACTCATCTAAGCTCCCTCATTAACATACAATCTTCAAGAGTAATTTTATTTATTGCAAATGTTCTCCAATAAGCACCAAACCCAGAGCAAGCAAGCATTTTGATATTTTAGATGACAAGCTAGTGCTAACTCAAATGTTTCCCCAGGCATTTATTTGATATCTTTAACCTGTTAAGTCAAAATTTTAGGAGCAATAAATTTTAGGGACATTATCATACATTGAAAACTTCACAATAAGACATAGAATTGTCAATTTTCAGCACTCTGATAAGCTAGAGAAATGTTTAACAATTATAACACATTTAATAATTTTGTCTAGGATTAAAAAGAATAACTATAATCACAGAAAGTAAGAGCTGGAAGAGCCATTAGATGTTATCTAGTCCTTTGTATCCATGGATGGGCAGTACTGGCTCCTGGGAGCTTGTTAAAAATGCACAATCTCAAATGGCACCAGAAACCTACTGAACCAGAATCTGTTATTTTAACAAGATCCCCAGATGGGCTAGTACGGTGCTGGGCTAGTCCAAACCCTCATCTTAAGTATGAGAACACTAAGCTGGGGGAGCTTAAATGACTTGCCCAAGACTATACAGTAAAAAACTACAATTAAAACTCAGCACTTAAATCCCAGTCCCATATCCACTCCCACCCCCCATACCCAAAAAATTTATGGAGGCCTATTAAGGTCAGGAGGCCTGATGGCACAGTGGTTAAGAGCTATGGCTGCTAACCAAAAGGCTGGCAGTTTGAACCCACCAGCCACTCCTTGGAAACCCTATGGGACAGTTCTACCCTGTCCTGTAGGGTCACTATGAGTTGGAATCAACTCTACGGCGAGAGGTTTGGTTTTTTCTTTTGTTTTATTAAGGTCCAGGAGCCCTGGCAGCGCAGTGGTTAAGAGCTTGGCTGCTAACCAAACGGTTGGCAGCTAGAATCCAGCAGCCGCTTCTTGGAAACTGCCTATGGGACAGTTCTACTCTGTCCTACAAGGTCACTATGAGTCAGAATCAACCTGATGGCACAGGTATTAAGGTCCAGGCAATGTACCAGGCATGTTAGTTACAAAGATGAGTATGCCACAGCCCATGCTCTGAAGAAACCCAGACTAGTGACACAGACATGTCATTATCTTTTAAGTGTGATGACAAAGAAGTCCCAGAGCACTATGGAAGTAATGAAAGGAGCACCTACCTAATCCTACCAGGAGGAGAGGGAGGAGCTGAGTAGAAGCATGCAAAATAAAAGGCAAGGGAACAATTAAAGTAGAAAGGAATACATGAGCAAAGGCCTGTAGGTAGGAAATGCATGAGGAATATGATAGAAAAGCAAGAAACTTGGTGTTCATAGAACTACAGCCAGAACCTCCACTTAAAGCTCATGAAATTTTATCTAGACATGTAAAGGCCTAAATCACAAGTTTGCAAAAGCAAATCCCCCAAATAGAAGGTCACTTCCAAATTCTCATACTAAGAACTGATTTTATTATGCAAACAATCTTTTCTTCAGATGACCTTTTGAAGTCTTTTTTCTCACATCTTTCTTCTCATAACCTATTTAATAGCAGATTGGGAAATTTTACTTTTGATCCCTGTCACCCCTGTAACCCCTCACAAATTTCAAGTTACACCTGACATAGATATGTTATCGCTGTGTGCCGTCAAGTGGATTCCAACTCATAGCAACCCCATGTAATAGAGCAGAACTGCCCCCACAGGGTTTGATTTCCCAGGCTATAATCTTTACAGGAGCAGATCACTAGGTCTTTTCTCCCACGGAGCTGCTGGTGGGTTCTTTTCTCCCATGGACCTTTCAGATGGCAGCTGAGCACTTAACCATTGCGCTACCAGGGCTCCTTTGACTTAGAAATGGATGACCTATAAACAGAACAGTTGAGTGATCATGCTAATAGTTAAATTACAAATTAAACCCTCGCTTCTGTGGAATCCACCCACTCACTCCCAAAACCATAAGCAGATGTGGAAGCCTCTGGCACTCCTGAATGT